CCTGGGGCTGCGCCACTGCTCGGCGCCGGAGGCCGCGCTGGCCCGGGCAGGCCCTGCCCCGCGGCCCCTCCCAGGCCGCGGCCTCGCAGGCAAGTCGCGCTTCCTGGGGGAGCGCTGAGGGTGGGGGGAAGCGGGCTGACCGGCCCCGGCCGGGTAGCGCAGCGGGGATGTGGGTGCCCCCTCGGTGTCAGCCCCGGCGGGAAGCGGGCCGCCTCGTCGGCGTGGATGTTGAAGGAATCCGGAGAGGCCATTTCTGTAAATGGCCACCTCCTCCGTGGCACCTGGGCGTTGGAAACCCCGTGAGGGTATTAAAGGGTGGGGTTACTCGTCCGCTTCGCCGTCGTTTGTATTTATCGTCCTTGTAGAAGCTGACGGCTAAAGTCACAGGTTTTCGGATATCAACTTTAGATGCTTTTTCCTCGTAATTTTGTTCTACGTCAGCTAAGCTACCTTTTACCTCCAGTCAATAAATTTTTTTAAGCAAATAGAGCTTGAAGCAAATTCTATCATAGAATTTTCTTGAGCAAGCGTGTGGTTCATGGTCTGGTGTCTCCTGTATTGTCATCACGCTGGTGATCGTGCCATTTGTGACTTGGGAAATGTTGTCTTAGCGTTCCTGTTTACATAGAGATGCTTATTTTCTGAAGGACACGGACTTAATGTTGTTGCCAGAGCTCTGCTGTAGTGCAGGTGTATTTTGTTACAACCGTAGCTCAGTGTGGTGGTTATAGTCTTCCCTGCTTAATGAACCAGAAAACATTCTTTAAAATCTTTGGTTTAACCCTTATACAAAATTTTGAGAGCAGAGTGGGAGAATGCAGTTTCTTATAGAACAAAGTGTATATGGTTTTGAAGTATTTGAAGACAATTTGGAGTGTTGTCTTTAAAATATCAATGTATTTTTTTAATAAAGGATCTGACTCGGGCAAAGTTTAATTCCATATGTTTTCACTACAAAGTTTGACTCATCATTGTTAACATAGTAGTTAAATTTAAGAACTTAAGTTAGAACATCTAGTTCTATTAAAGCTTTGTGCTTTTTGTAATTTTTTTCCATACATACCTGAAAATTGTACTGTAAGACATTTTATTTATTAGAAAAACTAGGGGTGAATTGCAAAAGTCAAAGAAAATAACAGAGGTTAAAAAACTCAGTCGTGTTATGGTACAGCAACGTAAAGATACTGACTTACCAATCAAGATGTAAGTGCTGAATAGGCTGTTTCAGACCAGTCAAAGCCATATTTTACTTATAGATTAATTTATATGGTGTTTGAAATATAAAAAAAATTTCACTTAGTGTTTTTCTCTTTCATTAATACGGGTGAGCAACCATGAGTTTTAGTTCAGGAATTTTTGTTATAAAGTAGCTACTCTGTAATTTTCAAGGCTTTTCACACTACTGTTTGCATTCAAGTAGCTCAGAAATTCGATATGCTTATGGAGCCAGAATATCATTGATGAATCCTCCATGAGTGAAATTCAACTTCACTGCTGCAGCTCAGCAGATGAAGGGTAGGGTTATGGCAAAGCATGTGTTAAGTGCATATTTGCATTTATCCATCTGCAAGAAAGTTGTCTGTGTTGTACAGGTGTTAAAGGAGAAAATAAGCTTGAGGTCTGGGCAGGGGAGAGGGACTGGTTGGAAGGAAGGAACAGCTTTGGGAGTTTCTGAGGTTAAAATATAAAACAGGAGTTAGAAATGGTCAATGTGATTTAAAAAGTTCAACACTGAATAAGTGCTTTTCCAGGAGATCTGGCAAAGTTTAAATTTGATACTTCTAGTGTGGCTGTTTAGTAGTGAAATTACTGGTTTGCATCAGCTGTTGCAGATTTCAAGGGTAATTTTTAAAATATAAATTTGTTTTAAAGAATTTATAATTCATATTAGGATCCAAAAGATTATGTTTTTTGAAGCTCTTTTTAAATCCAAGGCAGCAATAAGCCTTTTGAGATGTCTGTTTTGAATCCTAGATTGCTTATCAGAAAGCATTAATAACTTCATTAAAGGTTTCAGAAGACTCATCATAGGCATTTTTAATGCCCTAAGTATTGCAAGTAATTCATTCCATTGTGAAATACTGTGTTCCATCTGAGAAGAAGACTTTGAGGGCTGAGTGAAAATGAAGCTTTACAAAACGTGGAAATCGTAACAGCGTCTATTTTTGTAGCTCACAGTATATTCCTAAGAAGGCAAATTAAAGAGCTAAGCTTCAGAAAAACTAGAAGTGTACATTTGCAACTATCTTTTAAAATATGGGTTTGTTAGAAGCCTATGGATTCTACCATTTTTTAAAATACAGATGTTAGTGTCAGAAGCCTATGGATGCTAGCACATACTTGTTTTCAGTGCTATGGGTCCATACAAAAGCCTAGTCCATAAAGAGTAAACATAAAAATTATCCATTATTAACATGCGTAAGTTAGGTTTGTTATATGGTGTGATAGAGAAGTGCAGCAGGAAAATTTTTTTCTCTGATGGCTAGCTGTAAACTTCTTTAATACACAACAGTTAACATCACACTGCATATTCACGCATAACAGCATGAACTGTTTGCCTTTCAGGATGATACCTTTGATGAAATACTGATCTTGCGTTAGAGTGTTTTATAAAGAAATCTAGATTTCAAACCAGATAACTGTTATTTGTAATATTAGAAATGTTATAATTATTTCATTTAGGTTTTGTTCCCATTCTCAGCGTGATGATGACAGTGGTAGCTAATTTGTATTAGTGACTATAAAACTAAGTGTGTGAGGACAAGTGAGACTCTCCAAGTGAAAATTAAAATAAAATGGACATATCAGATGGAACCTGTGCAAATGGAAAAACATAGGGGAAAAACTAAAATATTCAAAGGAGTGCTGGTATTTCTTAATATAATCAGCAAAGTAAGATCAGAAATGTTTTGTTTAACCAGAAGCATGGTCCTTCCAGTTCAGTTTAAGTCTTGATAATCCATAGGTGACCTTAAAGTTTTCCTATTAGTCTCATTTTAATGTAGTAATATTTATTATAGCAGGGATATGAAAGATGCAACAAGAAATTATTCTCAAGATTTCATGTATATGGAGATCTCATCATTCACGCATGATCCTTTATGCTTTCCATTCTTATTTTTGCTGCAAGATAATGGTGTTTTTCAGTATCTTTCCACATACCATTTTTTTCTGGTAAATAAAGTAATGGATGCTGACCATGATTTCAGGATTTTTTGTTTGGGTTTTTGATGTTTATTATGAAAGATTACCTACTATTTAATGAAACCAGCTAATTGATATGTATTGAAATAAAATGTATTTAGACATTAAAACATACTGATATGGTATTCATTCAAATACTAGCCTTGTTATTTTCAGTGTATTTGCATGCTTCAGATGTCAGTGAAAAAGTTGGCTCAACTATGATGTGTATTTAAATTGGTTTGGCAGGAAACACGGTTAGAATATTTAAACACGAAGAAAAATAGCTGGGTACTGGTGCTCTGAGTAATACAATGAAGCTATTTCTTAGTTAATTTTTAACTGAAACCTGCATTTTTAAACCAGGTATCAGCATACGTCATCTATTTTTATGATTTTAGCAGCATATAGAATATAATGGGAGCACTGGTGATTATATAATTCTGGATGCAGACAGCATCGCTGGAGATAGGCAAGAATGGAGGAAGGGTACATTTCTAGTTGCTTGCAGAGAAAGAAAAATTCTATGTCAAAGAGAAAGTAGGGAAGTTGTAAATCAGTATGTTACCTAAACTGGGGAAGAAAATCTCTGTCTACGTTAGTGACATTTATTTGTGCTAGGTTATCCTGGTAAATGAAGCAAAATGGCTTTTATCTCCACTATCCAAACAAGCATGTCAAAAGTAAATATCTGCAATACTGAAAAGTTAAGTGGATTTCTTTGCAATGTCATTTGTGTGTGCTCAGACTTTAGTGTGTAGATTTTAAGATCTATATGCAGTTTGATGGAGTGGATTATTGGTGCTTTTTTTTTTTTTAATATGACCTCTTGGTGCTATTTAGTGTCTTTTTATTGTTTGGTGAGAACTGAGAAAACTAAATTTATTGTTGTCATATTAATATTTTGGAGGTAGTGACAATGATGAATTTTCTTCCCCTTATCCTGCTGATTTTATTTCACCTGCGTTTATTTCAGTTTAAATGTTACGTCTTGAATTTTGCCATGTTAGATGTTCTCCAAGTAAGTGCAGTGTTGTTGCTACAAATAGTACATCTGAACTCTCTTGCAACTCAAGAGTGTATAAATATAAATACCGGAAAGACTGTGAATTGTTGTGCTGTTTTTTGCTTCTTAACCTGAAATGTAAAGCAGTACAGAATTTGTTGTTATGTCTGTGTTTTTTCTTGGATATCATTTGAAATGGCAGACTATCTGAGCCTGTAATAAAGATAATTTTTTCTTGAGCTATTGTCAGTTGTTAAAAAGCTGTTGTCTAAGCCTCACTGAAACCTACCATATTTAAACTCTCACAAACTCTTCTGACTGAAGAGTTTTTCAGTATTTTAGTGCTTTATTTTAGCATCATGTTTCTTCAGTTGGTCAGTATTATCAATTCTTCAGCAAAATAGAGTAGAGCAAGATGTGAGTTTTGAGCGGTTTAGTATGCAATCCCAAAATCTACCAAAGAAAGGGGTGTAATATATTAGTGGCAAAAAGGTATAACACCAGCCTTGTTTTCTGTGTGCCACTTGTTGGGGCTAAGTAGTTTTTCAGTTGGTTTTAAGGAAATAAATTTGTCACCATTGTAACTCAGAGATTTTTTTTGTTTCTTTTCCCCTAACTGATATGTATTATTGCCCACTTAGAGTATATTCTTATTAAATTTAGGAAGGAAAATTTACAAGTGTATAGATAAGATGTATTTACTTTGCTAAGAAGTGATAAAAGAGTAGAGTCATCAGGTTTTCACAATAGTTCTTAATAAACTTTATTATTCTTTCAACAGACCTCTTGTAAGTGTAAACAATGGAGGACCAGGAGAACCAAGTGCAACTCCTCAGTGAAAAGCAGGTGCCTAACTCTGAAAGCGGTTATGTGTGGCATGTCACCGATATGAATCGACTGCAACGTTTCTTGTGTTTTGGTTCAGAAGGTGGTACTTACTACGTCAAGGAGCAGAAGCTGGGCTTTGAAAATGCAGAGGCTTTAATAAGACTGATTGAAGAGGGTAGAGGTTGTGAAGTTGTTCAAGAAATAAAGACATTTAGTCAAGAAGGCAGAGCAGCAAAACAGGAGCCCTTGCTTTTTGCTCTTGCAGTTTGCTCACAGTGTTCTGATGCAAAAACGAAACAAACGGCATTTAAAGCTGTTCCTGAGGTGTGTTGCATACCAACCCATCTCTTTACTTTCATCCAATTTAAAAAAGATCTGAAGGAGGGCATGAAATGTGGCATGTGGGGCCGTGCACTGAGGAAAGCTGTTGCAGATTGGTACAATGGAAAGAATGGCATGGCTGTTGCTTTAGCAGTTACAAAATATAAACAAAGAAGTGGTTGGTCTCATAAAGATCTTCTGAGGTTGTCCCACCTCAAACCTGCCAGTGAAGGTAATAAATTTTTATTTACCTGAAAATACTCTGTTTTAAACGTTTTATACTTATTGTGGAACTATTTTGGAAACCCAAGTACCCTTATAGACTGATGATTTCTTAGTGATGGTATACTGTAAATTGCACCTTAAAAATGTGAGTGGTCATTTCAAAGTTGACCTGTTTATCTTCAAGGTAAACAGAGTTTGTTCCTTCTATTTCTTCCTTATGTCAAGAGAAGATAAAATAATACAATTCCCTCAATTTGTTCCTATTTGCTTACAAATGATTAAATAACACTTTTGTTATTTGGGAAGATCTGTTAGTTTCAAATATGTTAGGGTCCTTACTTCTAAGGAGAATAAGACAGTAATTGAAGCTACTGCTCTAAGTTGTGTGTGATTGACCTTTTTTATAGCTGGTTGGCAGGTCTGAGAATGAAACCTGCTAACTCATTTGCTTGCTAGAATGACAAATGCCAGTATAAAGATGGTAATCATGCTTGGAAAATATTTTTCTTTTCAATAGGAATTGCTATAGTCACTAAATACATTACCAAAGGGTGGAAAGATGTCCAAGAGGCTTACAAAGACAAAGCAGTTTCTGCTGAGACTGAAAAACTCTTAAAGTATCTGGAGGCTGTGGAGAAAGTAAAGCGCACAAAAGATGAATTGGAAGTTACTCATTTAATAGAGGAATATGGTCTAGTTAGAGAGCATCTTCTGACAAACCATCTGAAATCTAAAGAGGTGGGTAAACTTCATTAGCTTTGTATTCTCTTTAGAGTAACACTTTTCAGAGTCTTAAGTCTAGATTTCCATAAAAAATAACCCTCATGCTCTTTTTCAAGTTATTTACCCAGGTAGCTAATTTAAAATAATGAAGATCTTCATATAACTTGTACATTTATTTTAAAATACATTTATTTAATGTACAGATGTCAGTTCTTATAGTTTGGGAATCTTATCTTTTTTTGCCTTCTCTTTCTTTGATCATAGGTTTGGAAGGCATTGCTGAAGGAGATGTCCATTTCTGTCTTGTTGAGAAATTTAGGAAAGCTGACAGCAAATTCAGTGCTTGAACCAAGAGGTTCAGAAGTGGCAATAGTATGTGAAAGACTGAGAAATGAGAAACTGCTAAAAAAGGTAAGAACTTTTTCATAATCAGTGCCAGCCTTTGTGGTTTTTAATCTCTTCCTAAACTGTGTTTCTTAAGGCAACCTCTTTACAAAATAAAAGGGATGTTCTTTGGAGGAAATGTGTGGTTTATTCTTTTAAAAAACTGCGGTGGAATACCTGCACCTTTATTTTGAAAGTTGTATATATAATTTCTCATTTGATATTTTTTTTCCTCCTCTATTTCTGAAACTTTTCTACAAATTAAGTGTATTGACAGCTAGGATCTTTTCTTAAATTAGGGCTGTGGCAAGCTTTGCCTGTTGGGTTCATCCATTGCTTCTGAGTCTTCTAATTTAGAATCAGCAATACAAGCTTAAAAAGTGAGTGGAAGTCACTCATGTAGGATCGATCCTAGGAAATGAATGAAGAAAGTAGCGTAGCAGGTGAGAGGAAAAAGAAGATGGAACAAGGAGACTTTCTCCTTTCAGATTGCTTTACTATCCATCAAAGACGTAAGAAAATAAGAAGTAAAAGAGGGTTCCCCAAAGGGAGAACAGAATTTTCAGGAATTTTATGGGAGATAGAGAACACAAGTGGCTTTTTCTAATAGTTTTGTGAGTTGGGGAGAATTACAATCAGGACACTTCTTCAAGATTATAGTTGAATTGAGAAGAATAGTAGGTCCTTTTTTTCGCCATCCCACTGCTCTTCCCTTTCTCTGGTTTCTTCTTTAATCATACGTAGTTACTGAGGCACTGGAGAAAGCAGAGCAAAGATGGTGGCAATACCTTGATGGAAGAAAGACAAAGGACAGGCATTCAGATTTGCAAAGGTTTGCTGCTGGTAGTGATTAATGACAGAAACTCCCCTTGAGGAAAAAGATAACAAAATGTTGATAAATCAGTAAAGCAAAGATGTGGTTTAGAATATTTAGCATGTGGCAGCCACTGATTTGGTTTATGTAGGGAAAGTAAAAAAAGAAGAAAATGTTTGGACTATCTTCTTATAGTAAGAGGAAAATAAATGCTGTATTCTGAAAGTAGTTTATTTGTCCAGTTGTACTGTATCTGATACAAAACTAGTTTTAAGTTTGTTCTTCTCCTAGCTCAACTCCTTTCCCCTCAGCAGGACAGGGACTTTCTCTTACTGTAAGCCTGTGATAGAAAATAGCAGTGGACAATCACAGGTAAAGCTGTGAAATTTCACCAAAATTCTGGTGATGGCATAAGATAACATTTGGAATTTATTGGAGTATTCTGGCAAGGCAATGAGGTCCATTGCCAGTAACTGACAAGTATCAGTGCATAAAACAGCTGTGTAAAGACTGCATGAACTCTTCAATTAAAGTAACAATATACTAAACCAGAGATTTTTGTAGTAGGATCTTAGTTTTAGTTTGTTACTTTTTTTTTTTTTTTTTTTTAGGATTTCAGATTTTCAAAAACTTAACTGTTGATTTCTTTTGCCTGTAGGGTAGAATACATCCATTCCATATTTTGGTTGCATTAGAAACCTATAAAGCTGGTCATGGAAGCCGAGGGAAGCTTTGGTGGCGTCCTGATGAAGACATTTTAGAAGCTTTAGATGCGTCATTTTACAAAACTCTCAAGGTAATATAGTTCATCAATTTGTTAAGCTTTTTAAGAATTCTCTGTTTTCTGAAAGCTTATTAAATGATCAAGAAAAGTTTGTTGGGTGGATAACAATTTTGAAATTTTATAACAAAAAATCTTAGGAATTGGAATTTTATTAAACAAAGAATCAAAACTTCATGATATATTCAGCTTTTGGCAACATTATTGTCCTAACGTTACCCTGGAAAGAATAAAAAAAGAACCCCACTTCTAGGGTTGAAAGCAGAAGAAGGAAGAAGAAATTAATATATTAATTATGTGTACCTTTTTTCCTTTTAGACAGTTGAACCAACAGGAAAACGCTTCTTACTTGCAGTTGATGTCAGTGCATCAATGACACAAAAAGTTTTGGGCAGCATGCTCAGTGCTAGCACAGTTGCAGCAGCAATGTGTATGGTGAGGCATTACACTTCTTTTATTTATAACTATTTGCAGCTTCGAGCTGCTCTTTTGATACAAAAGTGCTCTAAAGCTGGTTAGAAATCAGAAGGAAACTTATATATAATATTTTTTGGGCACAGAAGATGTGACCTTGTGTGTCACTTGTAGATCAGATGCTTAAAGCTGCTGGCAACCAAATTAAAGAAAGATCAATTTGAAGAAGTTGGTTTCCAGTATAAATCAAAGTGGTCAAGGCTGCTTTTTCACTTATCTTAGTTGAAAATACATTTTAATTTTTTTCAGAAGTATTCATAGAATAATACAGATTGGATTAAGAAATTTTGGGATAATTCTTGTGTGCATTTGAGTTACCAATTATGACCTTTGTATCACGATCACCTTCCCCTCCATTTGACATTCTAAAGCTTCTTGTATATTTATATTATAGAGGAGTCGAACTTTTGTTGGTGTTTAAAAATATTTAGTGTTTTATGTCAGAGGGGGGAGAAGAAATATGAAAGTATTTTTAGTTACAGTATTTAGAGCAGTTAAAACCTCTGATTTTTGCAATGTTTATGTGCAGTAATATTACAGAATATTTGAAGTGTAGAGTGAAGTGTTAGTGCATATCAGGAGCCGTGGTGACTTAAATACAAAAGGATATGTGATGTTGTGTGTGTGGTAGGGAATGCCTTGATTCAGACATTAAAAATTCTGAATAATATAACTAACTTGGTTTTGTCTTCCTCTTTCTCAGGTTGTAGCACGTACTGAGAAGGATTCCCATGTTGTTGCCTTTTCACATGAAATGGTCCCTTGTCCAGTGACAGCTGATATGACGTTACCTCAAGTATTAGTGAAAATGTATGAAGTATGTAAAAAAACAAACAAAAAAACCAACCCAAACAAACAAAAAAAAACCCAAAACAAAACCAAAACACAACAACAAAATAAATTAGGAAATAGTTGTTGCTAATGTCAGAGTTTAGAAGTCTCAGCAGTTACATTGTATTTTCTTTGTAATCGATTCTAGTACTGTGTTTAGTCTGTATCTGTATAGTAAAACACTGGATTTTTTTTCTCCCTTTTATTTAGAGGAAGTCCAGCAAATGTCATTATTTCAACTGCCGGATATTAAACATTGCAATTTAGAGTGGCAGTGTTAGGTCACAATGAGTTAGTTTGAAAAGAATATTTAAAAAAATCAAACAAAAAAAAACCCTGGACAAAACTAAAATGAAATGAGTAAGTGAACTGTTGTTTAACAAAGAAGCCTCTGTGTGTGATAAATCATGAAGCTTACATAAAGAGTAATTTTTCCATATTTTACTAATTTCGTTATTGATGTGTTCCATGTATTATTTTTCTTTTAAGATTCCAATGGGTACCACTGATTGTTCCCTTCCAATGATATGGGCTCAAAAAACTCGGACAGCTGCTGATGTCTTCATTGTATTTACTGATAATGAAACCTTTACTGGAAATACTCATCCCGCAACAGCTCTTAGAGAGTACAGAGAGGTAAATATGCTTCTCACTGTTTATAATTGATGAATACAGTACAAAATAAATACCAGTTCTAAAAATGTTTCAGAGGCTGAACTAGTTGTGGCTTTTTTCAGTAAATAATTATATATTGTTAAAAAATTATATATTCTGCAGTTAGGCAGAATGAGTGCACATATTGCATTAATTGTGCATACTTAAAACCACTGAATTGCTTGGTGCACTGCAGTATCAATGAAAATTTGTTTGGTATTCAGGGAATATATAAATTTCTGCATTCTATATATAATTGATTGAATAAGATTTTTATAGTTCTTACAGAATGAAATTCGGCTCACAGAATTAAATTTAACTTTGATGTCTGCAGTAGATACTACAAAGTTTAAATGAAGTAAGGAAGATAAGCCTGTAGGGAAAGTGTCAATAGGATGAGGTGATAGTATCTTGTGAAGAAAGCTCATTATGCTTTAAAGGGGCTACTCTTAAGCTGTGCAGCTTCAGAATTTTAAAATAGAACTAAGAAAAATACCTTCTCCAAGCACATTGCTATTAGAAACTCTAATTTAATTGGCAAACAATCTTTTATGCTTTGAAGGAACTATTTTTTAAACATCAAAAAATACTTTTTGGCAAGCTTGTATGTATGGACATTAATCTTCATATCATGTCCACTCAGTTGAAGTTAATACCAAAAATTGTTAACTTGCCCACTGTGTTTTAGTTTTCTTAGTTGAGATTAGCTCCCATTCTTAAATTTGTTCTTTAAACAAAGAGGTCCTGTACTCTGGCTTTCATGCCACTTGCTTTGCTTTACCTTACAGGTTATTAACTTGCAAATTCAGCTCATTTAGCAGAATTGTCTAGGCCACAGTTGTTGTATTTGTTCAACCAACATTTGGAAATCCTTGCCTTGGACAAAAACACACTCTGACTCCTATCAGATGATTTGATAATAATTATTGAAAGTTTTTACTCTGAATGAACTTCAGAATAGCAAATGCAATGCTTGCATTTGAAATAATCTATGAATCTTAGTATTGCAGGAAAGTTGTGCTAGTATACCTCATGGTATTTTTTTTCCATTTATTTAAATATATCTACTGCAGGTTAAGTACAATGTTAACAGGCAGTCTGTAATTCTGGTTATGGTGAGATTTGGTCCTCTGGCATGTTTAAGTTACTATATATGTGTGTTCTGATTTTTTTTTTTTTTTTTGTCCTTTCTCTAGAAAATGGGTATTCCTGCTAAATTGATTGTTTGTGGAATGACCTCAAATGGTTTTACGATCGCAGATCCAGATGACAGAGGCATGTTGGATATATGTGGCTTTGATACAGGAGCTTTGGATGTTATTCGAAACTTCACTTTGGATTTGATTTAATTTTCTAGGTGTTTGCTCTTCCCAGTGGGTCCATTGCTGGCAACAGACTTCACCCTGGGAATTCCCAGCCAAATATACTTTATTAGAATATGGCACATTATATATATATCAGAATGTTACGTTTTTGTGAAGGGAAAATAAGAAAAGCAGATGAGAAATCTCTTTTCTCTTTTTTCCTGTTGCACACAATTTAAAATAACAGTGTGAAGTTTGCTAACAGTAGCTACAGGGTTACACAATACATAATTTAATTCATTTATAATAGACTATAAACACTGAGAGATTTTTAATCCCCCCCCCCCCCCGCCCCAGTTGCTGTGGAATGTTTGTTTGCAAGAATAAATTGGTGAATTACTCTTAGGAAAAAAAAGTGGGGTTTTTAATAATGTCAGTTTAACAGCAACTTCGTTGAGAGGGATTTTTCTTTGGGCTTTTTTTAGTCTTTGTATTTTAAACAAATTACTAAGGTTCAACAGTTTCCATTGTTACACTGCAAATCTACAAAACAAGTATTTTCTGGTACGTATGAGACCATGTGACTGTGATGCAACATAAAAGTTAGCCAGTGAAATTTTATACTGATAAAACTGAAAGTGGAAGAGCTTATGCTAATCTTTTTCTATCTAGATTATCATCTGGGGTTTCAGGAGTAAAGTGTAATTCTCTTTAGATAAATTGAGGGGCAGTTGCTGTACAATGCAATTTCAGAAGCACTGTTTTAGAATTAATATGCTTTATAGGAAGTTCTAAAAACTGGTTTTAGTAGAAAAAGACCTTGGAAATGGCTGGGAAGCCACATTCAGTCCGTGTTACAACTTCAGGAAGCATCAGCACACTTTCAGCCAGAAAGATCAACAAGGGCATGTGTCTTGGCCTGCTCTTGAAACCTGAGTGGTAACAACCAGAAACAAAAAGCTACTTTTTCTTCAAAAGAATGCATTCAATGATACAGAAACAATCTTCCTAACAGGAGAGTATTTCATTTTATAAAACCTGTTTGTAAATAAATGTTACTTCTGATTTCGTAAATTAATTCAAGCTAACATTTTTCAAAACTACCTCCAGTTTATAGGGACCAATTCTTAAAAATGTACAGTTGCCTCCTTCATGTTCTCAAAATCTTGTTAAAGAAGTGATTGAAACTGGATTTTTATTTTTTTTTCTAATCTGATAATAAGAGTGTGAGTCAATAAGGAGAAAGCTAGTGAATATCTTATCACTTTGGAACAGGAGTTGATAGCAATTCATGTGTATATGTATTTAATTCTCTGTGTGTGTTTTTATATATGTGTGTATAGGGGGGAAGTTAAAAGATCTCTTTAGCAGATCACAATCTTAGAAGAAGAGAAAAGTTTTTTAGTGATGCTTTTACAACTTCTCCTAAGACATATGTATGCCAGTCTCTTTTATGCTAATTCTGGCTGTTTTAAACAGTGAATTTGATGTTAATTTGAAAATAATTGCAATTTATAAAAATAACCCAGTTGTGGTAAATGACATGTAAGACCATATTTTTCTGCCTAAAACCCAAGCTTTTAAATGTAAAATTTGAGTTCATATTATACTTTTGATACTTGTAACACTTTTCATTATGCCTCATACATATTGATTATAAATTCAAAGCTCTCATTCTGTAGGATGGATATCTCTTTTGGTGCTAAAATGTGAGGTGACATGTTACTGAAGGTATTCTGCTACATACTTATACTCTACCTTAATGAATAAATCAAAACAGTGAAGGAAGCCTTTTCTGACATTAAAACCATGGCTTAAAGAATTGATGGTAGGAATGTTACCTTTCAGCGGACATGAATGTAGTTACTTCTGAATCATCACTGCTCTTAACGATACCGCTCTGATAGAATGCTTGAAGAATACAGGACTGCCACCACCTTGTCAGGTGACATCTAGAAAAAACAAGTGTTCCTATAAAAGCTGAGACATAGCACTTTGAGTTTGAAAAAAGAAAATTAGCCATTTCTTATGAAAATTTTCTTACCACTTTTAGTCTCCTTTCTAAATAAACACCATGAATATGGGGAGTTAACTCATTTGCTCAATACATGTTAATAATTATTTCAAGTAAATGCACTGATGTTTTGGGCTTGGTTTCGGTAGTAATGTGTTTTAAATTACACAAGTCAAACATCTGATTAGGTGTTTCCTTCTAAGCTAGAGATGTTGAAAATAACTGATAAGTATCTTTTGCAAGTACTTTTTCTTATTTGGAGTAGTATTTGTGAAGTAATAGGAAATACTTTGGACTAAATATAAAATGAAAACTTAAACAGGTATTTCAAGTAACTTTGTGCAGTTAATTGCAAAAATTTACTGCAAGTAAAAGATTAGACTAGTTACTAACAGATTGAATGAACGGTTATAGTAGTGTTGCATCTTTGAAAGCGTTTCAGTTTAAAATACAGTTCCTTGAACTAGAGTGTAAGTGAAGATGAACTTTTCAGTAGAACTTATAGAAAATGTAGCTCCCTGTAACTATTGACACTGGATAGCTATGCACCATGTTAAAGATAGTCATCCATGCTGGAGTACATAATATGCTCCTAAATATTTACCGTATCTCTGTACTAAAAAATCTTGTTAGAATTAGAATATTCTAAGTGGTTTGGTTATCTGAATCTGATGTAAAACTAGCACCAATGAGATCATGTTGTCATCTGTTCCTCCTTTAACATTTTCATAGAAAGGGGAAACTGAAGTAAATGCTGACAGCTGAAACTTTATAGTATGGTGACCTTTGTTTCTGTCTGGTTTTGTTACTATCTTACAGTAAGGGGCATAGAAGAATGATGCTGCATATTCTTTTTCCATAGACTGGATCTTTTGTATCTGCCCGTATACTGAATTTTAGGGGACAGCATGACTCATTTGCCATAATACAAATTTATCCTGATTTTAGTCTTTAGTTATTAAACTGATAATTTCCAAAACCAATATCTGGACATCTAAAGAGGCAATAATTACTGCAGTGTTTGGGGGGAAAAAAAAAAAAGTGAGCTAAGACAAAGTATTAAGCTTAAGCATTAGTTCAGTAAACAATAAATAACCTACCCTTTCACCAAAGAGGAGACACTGACTCTTTCAAGTTAGTAGTGGTGTTTGCATTGGAGGAACACTTTGACTAACAAAACAAAAATGGGGCTATAATTGTGCATTGCAATTTACCAGTAAAAATTGAACAGGGACAAGTTTAAAGATAGTCAATTTTATTCAAAACATTAATTAAAAAAAAAAAAGTCTAAATGCAGAATGCAGTTGTAGACTGGGTGAATGCAAGTTTCCTGATATCTAACAGAATTAATAGGCTTTCAGTTTGACTGCCATTTCACTGTGACCCCCTTAACAATTCTTCAATATTACACTATTATGTCTAAGACTACAATGTTCAGGCACTTTAGCTTTAAGAAAGAAGAAAAGGATGTAATGTTTGGAAGCACAGCAGAGGTAAAACATTTTTCTGTAATGAATGAACATCAAAGGTCAGGTTTCTTCATGGAAGGGATACAGTCGACAATGTGGAGAGGGCAGAAGGCACACAAGTTTTCTTAAAAATCATGCAATGCATACATCAGCATTATGTAATAAATTGAATCAAGACAGTAATAATTTTGCCAAGAAACAGAATTTCGTGTCAGGAATTTTAGACCTGTAGCAAGGAGGAGGAGAGTTTGGGATGCTTGTAGAATTAGATTACAGGCAAAATATGGGTTCTTCACCTACAATCCTATGTGTTTAAAAAAGTGAAGTCTAAAAGTAGGTGTAGATCTGAAGTCAGCAGGGCCAGTCTAAGTGCCCACTATGTGAATAGGGCCACTAATAACTGGCCCTATAATACCTTGCTGCTTAATACCACTGTTAAACCTGTTTGTTAAACATAAGTCATTGGGGGGGTTGTGTTGGTTCATTTTCACTGTTGTTGTCTAATTTAGGCTGATAAATGGGTATGGCTTTAAAAGGCTATTCAAGGAAGTATATATTCTTGGCTTTAAGAATACATCAGCAGTTTTGGAAATGTATTTTAATAATGCCTCTGTCTGTAAAAACACTTAGGAAGGCATTTTTCTCTATTGCAAGATGCTGTGCTGCTTAATCACGTACCTAACTCATAGCCGCTGTACCAGAAGCATTAGTATTGGTTCCATTTATTTTGTTTCTTGTATTACCTTTTTGCTTTGCCCTTCCTTTTCGCGGTTACTGTTGGCTTTTTTTCTCCTCTCCCATCTCCTTGTCACCTCAGGCCTATATTTTAATCTCTTTTCACATGCAAGCTTTGGTCCATTCCTTTTTTTTTCCCCTCTCTCCTTCTGCCTTCTCGCTGTCATTGAGCATGCTAGCTTAGCTAAATAACTCAGACCAGAACTGATGTCATAGTATTTATCTTAATTTTAAGAAACTGGATAATTTTTTTCTTTCCTTTGATTATATAAATCTCTTACAAAACATGTAATTTGCTGTATCTATCAGATTTTTTGGTAAAACTTAGTGTAAAGATAAGTGACAAAAGTATACTTTATTTACAAAAATCCAACATCTGTGTTTTGAATGCGTGTTTTATTTTTATAAAGTAACCACTTAAAATTGGCTTTTCAAATTTAAAGCTTTTTTCCAGAATTAGTTCAGTGAGTTGGAACTTTCCATTCTGTTAAATATTATCAAGCTGCTATTCTATGTAGAATTAGGGAAACATTTAAATTAATATTCTGGATAAATAGGCAGCTTCTTTGCAGTATTGATTAGAGAAAATCTTCAAAGAATAGGATGTAGAAGTAAACCTAAGCAAAGAATCATTTGTCTTGCTTGTGCTTTTAATTTTTTTTTAAGCATTTCATTAGTTTATAGGTTTATTTTGCTATTTGCAGCAGTTCATAGTGGACAAATACGCTGTAAGCTGTTTTAATGACTTTACTGCTGGAATGGTAGAGATTTCATCTTGCTGTGACACAGTATAGTGTACAACATTGCTGAGTAAGTTATGGGGGAGAGGTAAAACACTAGGACAGTGTATTATATATGTGCTGCTCTGAGAGCTAAGATTTAAGATCAGCTAATTTCAGCAGAAGGTATAGTGTCTTTAAATATGGGTGCTTACATTTGGATTTATAATTTTGATATTGTAAAGTGTGGTTTCTTTAGGTATTTCTGCATTCTGAATTTAAGTTTATATATATTTGCATATATATGTGGTATGTTAAGAACTTTTTACAAATGCTTCATTGATAAATAATGAACATAAATAGCTGTTTTCCTAATGTTACCAGCTTTTCAGAGTTAAGCACAACTAGTTACAAATAAAATGTCTTTTCTGTTACATTCTCCTATAAAAGTGCAGTTCTACTCTTTAAAAATGAGTCATATAAAAAAGCAACAGATGAGCACATTTACAGCTCTGTCTGGTTAATTAAGTAATTTGATGTTTGTTTTCAGCTTCTTATGCTTCGTGGGAGCATGGTATTTAAGCTGATGTGAGCAGGTATGTCTAAAGTGTAACTACAGAATCTTTTAGTGGATAATTTTTAATATTCAGATCCCAGGGAAAGCATTATTTTAAGATAAAAAGCTTTGTCCTGGAGACAATGCTAAGCAAAAAATATGGAAATTTTTAATTACTATTTTTGAGTCCCTCCCCCCCTTTTTTTTTTCCAGAGTAGAACCACACTTTTAACAGCCATATCATGTTTAAGTAAGTTAACCATAACATGGCTTTGTGCCATCCAATAATGAAGGCACTGTCTTGCTGCTACTTTCTATGAAATGATACAAAAATTCATGAGAAACTATTTGGATAGGGAGCTTTAATATGGTTAAAAAGAAACGTAATTAACCCTTTGAGTGCCTTAAGACATATCTTCTTTAATAAATGGGCACTCACTTGGATCTGCGGGCATACGGCATGTTTTCTCAACAGTTGGGATAGAATAATTGCCTTAAGTGACAATGCCCTGGGATTTCTGAGACTTAGAACTCAAAGGGTTATTTTAGACTACTGTTTTGGGACTTTTTTTTTTTAAAACAGGGAACAAAATGAAAAGGTCTTTCTTTGAAAAATTCCTTTGCATACTATTATTATTATATGATGGATTTACCAGCTTTCAGGTGCAAAATTATTGTTAATCTGAGGAAACATAACTGGCCTAAGAATTCTACACAGAGAAAAAGAATACTTGGTTACCACTGTATGTGCAAAATAAATTGCTTTATTAAGTATAAATTTAGAGATGCACATTTGTGTGTCTTTACCTTGATAAGCATGTCCCTGTAAACAAAATTTTAATAAGGCAGCAATGAAAGTAGCAAAATACAGTAAACCTCAATAATAAAAATATAATAAGGTCAGTGTGTTTAATTAGCTCATTACATGTTGAAGATGCACAGTTCAGACAACTATATACTAAAGACTTTCTACAAATGGTGCAGTTCAAACTTATTCAAACCTGCATCACAAAAACGAAGCTGTCAAATTTAAGTGATGCTCTTATGGTCCTAGTTATCTGTAGTTGAAGATAAGTGTGACACTTTTTTCCCTTGAGGGGAAAAAAGTAGTTTAGGTGCATGCAGCGCTGAAAACAGTGGAAATAACAGGAGTGTTATTCACAAGAAGTGAATAAAAATTCATTGACTAATGGTTTTATTCTGAACTGTGCACCTTTAGTAATGTAATGGTCCCTCTTACTGAAGAATGGGATATAATTTTCTACTTGCACCTAAACTTTCTTCAAATAACTAAGAGTCTTGACACTGCCTGGTCTGGCTTTGGATGTACATTTTACTGAAACTATTGAATTTAGACAGTTCTTTTAAACATCTAACTGCAAGTTAAAATTGCTAGTAAACTGCATTCTGACTGTAGAATTTAAGTACTAAATAAACTCTATGCATATTAGACCTATTTTACGTGGTCTGAAATTTCATAACAGTGTTGGATTGATCATAATGTAGTTTGTAACTGCACAGTTTAGTGACAGCAAGCTGTCTGGTTCCCCTAGGCTATTTCTGAATGACACTGTATAGACTGATACTTCATAGTGCAGGGTGAAGATGAAAGCAATTACCTACCTCTCTAAAGGTGCAAGACTCTTTATTCCCTTTTCTGTAGCAACTGGACAGACAATTTGGTAGCTAGGTGATCAGTCACTGAAATGTAAGAGAGGCAGACATGCATACAGCAATATTGCTACAAACTTGTTTTGCTTCCTGCTTTCTTCACAATTACAATTTTAACATTCAGAGAAGAATTAAACTTAAAGGAACCATTAAATCAGACTGACCATTTATTGTAACTCTTGGAACAAAGCTAGAGAGCAAGCTAATTTGCAGAAAAAAAAAATACAGGATTCTTCTTGTACAGTTTATACTTCTCTGAAGCATAGTACCAGGATGTAACAGCAATAAGATGACATCACTATCTCACACTTAGAGCCTCAAGAGTTACATAATGTTTTTTAATCACCATTTTTGTTGTGGTAAAGCTAAGGCAAGGACACCAAGTAATTTGCCAAGTCCATAAAGTCTGTGTCATTTGAGAATGATCTACGATTCAGAAATCCATGGCTTGGAAGTTGTTGAGTCCAGCTGATAGTGTATCTTTGTGATCTTCTAACTTGTCTGAAATTCTGTTTGTACAAAGAAAGACTAAGCTAAGCTAGATGGCTGTTGAGGATTTTCTTTTCACTTGACATTGATGAACTAATGGAAGCAGTTTGCCTTCCTCATGAAGCCTTTGAGTATCTGTAGCACCTCCAACAAAAGTCCCATTGACAAACACTCTCGGGACCTATCAAGAAGATGAAAATTGCATTAGTTACTTCTTGGAAAAGAGATAAAAATCTAAGCAAGCCCACGTGGACTCGAGTATATACACAGTAGTTATGTCCTTACATGTGCATATTTAATATTACTGTACAACTCATACATTCCCATAATATTTAGAGATGGGAAACTTTGTTCACATGCCCCTCAGAAGTGGGATAAAGTCACTGTACGGAAAATAGTAATAAACCGAGTCAAGTGAGACTATATAAAATTAAGAAATTACAACACAAGTGTTAAACACAATGGATTAAATATACCTATACAAATTAAAACTGACTTTGGTACTTCAATTATCTTAGTGGCAGTATGGAAACAATCACCTCAGAGGGATAGCCAGAGGGTCTCAAGAGGAAGAGACGGTACAGAACCCTTCTGCAGTACCTTGCCTTTAACTTAGGAGCTTGTATCTCAAGTTGACTTGTCTCAAAAAAATGAAGAACTTGATATGTCATAACCCATAAGGAACGTGTGTAGTGTAAGTTCTTACTCTGATGGTTACATATAAGAAAATATACTTACTGTTCTGCCACCAGTCATCTGTTCAAGAATGTCCTGGAACTGACTTCCATTTGTATTCATGTCCAGTTCTACAGCTGTATAATTTACATTCATATCCTCAAAAAGTTTTTTTGCCATTTTGCAGTAGAAGCATGTTGTTTTAGAGAAAATCACCACACAGTTGTCTGAAATAATCTTCTGTAAATCCAAAAGAACGTTCAAGTCAGTGTGCTTTGATTTTAAGTCAGTGTATTTTAACAGTATTGAACAGTCAAGACAACAAAGAAGTTTAAAATCTGCTATTATGGTAACAAATACAGGATAATTACTCTGTAAAAAGCTTTTTGAGGTATTTTTAACGGGGACAACTGAGGAGTTCACAGTCATGCTACAGTGATGGCGGGCTACTTCTGAGGAATCTTCCAAAACACTGTACTTTATTCTCAGTTTTTTAAGGTAAAGTGAAAAGCTAGTTCAGCTTCTAAAATTTTACTACTTCTAATCTAGAGCCACAAGAATCTTAAGGTGAGGAATGAACTACTCTTCTCCCAAAACAAGGAGCAGAATGGTGACTTCTATCAAGGCATCTGTCAGGAAGATACCATCACCTATATGGTGGGTGCAAAACATACCCACCACCACATTTGTTCTGAAGACCTCTATGGTGGCCTAGCACATCCTTTAGGGATGCATCCCATACTTTCACATCAGCATAAAAACTGCTTCCTACCTAACTACCAAGAAAGTCAGATTCTCGACCTCAAAAAGTGCAGTTGCACTTGGCCAGATCCCAAAGAGCATCTGCACACAAGTGCAGTACGCAGTGACATGCAACTTCAGCAGTTTGCAGAACTACATGGAAGATAAAGTGACTTCTGCTCCACTGAAGCTTTTCAGTAAAAGGTATGTTCTATTCTTGGTGCAGAATACCAGGAATCAGTTAAAAAAATTAGCAGTATTTGACTTTCAGGAATGCTATGACCTTCTCGTGGGAGCAGAGACATAAAGGAGGGTTGGCATTAACAATCTCTACCAGAAGTGGTGCTGGCACCTCTGAAGCTGTGTATGGCCTGCACTTTGGCTCCAAAATGAGCAGAATGATTGTGGAGCATGTGGTTTGACTGCCATGCAGTGGTGCCAGCCCTGAACCCTCTTGTGCTCTGCAGTCACAGACCTCCTACAGTCTGCCAAACAAGCTGCATCTCCTTGAATTACATAGTACAGCTTTCCTTGTCCGTAAGGCAAATGGAACGTGCCAGGGGCAAGCAGAGTGACAAAAAGGGTTCCGAGTGAGAGAAAGGAATACTCGTATTACTTTGCTGTAAATTCAAAGTGATTTCAGGCTGTCCTTTAGTATCAGTAAGTGTACTTTAAAAAGCTCTTTAAATGTTTACTTTACTCGATACTAGTCATTTTACAAGGTTCAATCCTCAGTATTGATAGCAGTACTGAATTTGAGTAGAGGTCTTAAAAGATGTAAAATGGATGCAGCCTAGGAAGATCAGGTTCCAGGGCTGTGCATAAACAATGCTGCCAGTAATAAACATAAAAATCACGTTCAAGATGCAAAACTATTTACAGAATTTCTTAGTATAAATCAGAAAAGCTTTTAAGTAACTGTGTCTTTTAGAAATGTTGAAAATAAGAATTGCATAAATAATGTTACCTGTATTTGATTCACAGCAGCATCATTAGACAACCCTATGGAAGTAGGCAGACTATTCTCCATTCTAAAACTAAAAAGAAATTAAAGTCAGATATTCGAGCTTTCAAACAATGACACATTTCATAGTTCACAAAAGTTGGCTTCATACTGTTTTGTTTTAATATTTAATGTACAGGCAAGTTTACTTCAGCTGCGATGCCTACAGTCATACCAGTCCTCACATGCCTGCAGGGAGATGCAAATAAAGAGATGGACGTTGCAGACTATAAGAATAACCAAAAAGGCTGCCTTTGCAAGAGAAATAGTTGTTTTTCCCCCAGTGACAATACAAATACAAGTGTCAAATCTGACTCTAACAGAAGGGACCACGCTCGTTTTCATCAAAGGAGCGGTCCCTCCAGCGTGCCGCTCCGAGGCCTGCACGTCCCGATGCCATCGGGCCCCAGCCGCAGGCGGCCCTGGCACCCGCCGCTCCGCTCCCCGGAGGGCCACTTCCTCCCAGGACGAGCGTTCAAAAACCACGAAGACAGAAAGCAAGCCCCGTCCCCTCGGGCTCGACCCAGGCCCAAAGTTCCAGCGCCGGCGCAGAGCTAGCTCGCTCGCTCGCTCCTACCAACCGACCGACGCCGCCGTCCCAGCGCCGCCGTCCCAGCGCCCTCTGCAGGGCCATGGCCGCCAAGAGGAAGGGGCGGGGCTTCTCGCAGTCCTCACGGCGGTCCGACCCCACTCGCAGGCCCCCCGCACCGCCTCCCAGGGGAGCGCGGGGCTCCCCGCCGCGCTGCCGGTGTTTTGAGGCGTCGTGTGGCGGGCAGCACCACCCCGCCCCGCCGGTCTGTCGCTCTGTCCCTCGGATGAGGGCCCTGCTAGCGGCAGTGTCGGAGGTGGAGGCAGCCCAGTAGCAGGCTGCCGGGGGGAAAGTAGCGCCTCCGGAGCGGGGAAGAGAGCGGTGCGGCGGCGGGGCCAGCTCCCGGAGGCGGTGGTACCCGTCCTGCGGGGACGGTCCCTAGGGGCCGGTGCGCCTGGCATCCGCGGCGGGTTCTTCGATACTGGTGCTACCAGTCGGGATACAGGTGGTGACAGACTGTTTTTCTGAGGAAAAACCGTTCTGGAATTGCGACGTCGGGCTAGTAAAGACGCTCGGAAGCGCTGCTGTCAGCGGGATGGCGGTTTGGAGAGGGGATTAAAGATGGGACGGAATTCCTGGAGGTCCCGGGGCGACTTCTGGGGCGGGGGGCGGGGAGGGTGGGTCTTCTGCCTTTTGTGGCTGACTCCCAGGTGCTAAGGTTTCGGCCGTGCCTTTCCTTTGTCAAATGTAAAACTAACTTTAAATCTGCTCTGTCAGCATTTCTGTTGCCCTTTTTTCTTTACGTTTCTTTCCTGCCTGCAGCTATTCAAATATGCAGAAACTTACCCATGAAGCAGGAGTGTTCCCAGACAACAAAGAATGTGCTGAAGGATAATGAACTCGGCCTGGTTTCTGGGAAGGTTTTACTTTACGTGGGGGTATTGGTTTTTTCTTTACTTTGACTGTCTAGTAAGAGCTGTTTGGCCATATTCTCTTGCTTCACCCCCACATAACTTGCTATGGAGCCTGGATCACAGGTCAAATATGTATGTCCTTGGCAGAGCATAGCTACTGAGTCTCCCCACTGGGACCTAGATAAGAATTTCAGTACTGCAGATGCTTCTCTGCCCCTCTCTTTGTGGAGATGATAATGACGTGTGGAAAACAGACTCCACAATCAGTGAGATTGTAAAGTAGGTATGTTCATTCAGCGCTGGGCAGCACGGGGGGTAGTCCCACCAAAGTCGTGCGCGCCTGATTTGGCAGTTCACTTTAAATTTATACAGTCAAGTGTTACATATACATAGAGTTTTGCAATACGCCTATACATAGGCATTACCTATCCCCGCTTCATACTAAAATTAGCCCTAGGAAGTCATTTCCATAGTCTCCTCTCAACTGCGCTTGCGCAGTGCCTCCTTATGGTGGTCGTCTGGTGGTCGTGAAGATGAAGGCTGTATGTCTTCTTCACGGTGAACTCTTAACCTTCTGTCCCTGCGGAGACTCAGTTGTCCCTTGGCATTTGTCCAAATCACAAGGTTGGTCTTGGCTGGTTCTTGGAGCCACTGCTGCTTCTTATCAGGGACTATCTCCTGTCCCAGCCAGCCTCAACAATGCAAGCGTTAAACATCACTTCTCATCCCCTTGGGCCATGTCTACCTCTATTGAAACTTCTTTAACTTCATTATAAGCTAGATAATTATTAAACAATACTTATCCACATTCATATATCTACTATATCTGCTAAGGTTTCTTTGGTTCCCCGTCTCAGTAAGTTTTGCAAAGTTGTGTTCTGGATCACTGTTCAGTCGTCAGTCCTATGTTTTAAAAAACAGCGCAAGGAAATCAGCTAACGTACCATTTTGGTTTTGCTCATGTATATATATAAAAATGAATATTGTGTATTCAGACATGGTATATCTTGTTCCTTCTGTACTATAAGACTTGAACAATCTTTCTTGGTGTTATTAATCCGAATGAGTTTACCTATGATGTAAAATTGCATTGTTTTGCAACTTAATTTTGATTTCATATAAAACATCGGCATAAACTGTTAAGACTACAGAGCTCTGTTAAACTAGTCATAAAATACAATTGAAACATTGTACCTATGCAATATACTTTCATCTTACTAAATCGTAACATGCTTTCTCATTTCAGGTAATAATTTTCTAGCCTAATCTGTGATAAAACTGATAAACTCTAAAGTCTCTAATGCCATGTGAAAATAGTTTCTCTGGCATTTCTTATCAAATCCTGATTTAGTGATAAAAATAACGGTGAATAATCTTACTATGATCCCCAAAGAAAACTGTGGGAAATGTTCCGGAAAATCCCATTTAAAACTTCTAATGAAGGCTTGCTCACTTCCCCCCCCCCCAGTGGGATGGGGGAGAGAATTGGAAAAAAAAGTAAAACTCGTGGGTTGAGATATGAACAGTTTAATAGAACAGAAAGGAAGAAACTAATAATGATAATGATAACAGTAATAAAATGAAAATAATAATAATAATAAAAGGATTGGAATATACAAGTGATACACAATGCAATTGCTCACCACTTGCCAACGGATGTCCAGTCAGTTCCCAAGCAGCAATCTGCCCCCCAGGCTGATTCCCCCATTTATATACTGGGCATGACGTCACATGGTATGGACTATCCCTTTGGCCAGTTTGGGCCAGCTGCCCTGGCTGTGTCCCCTCCCAACTTCTTATGCCCCTCCAGTGTTCTTGCTCGCTGAGCAAGAGAAGCTGAAAAAGCCTTGACTTAGTCTAAACACTACTTAGCAACAACTGAAGCCATCAGTGTGTTATGAACATTCTTCGCATACTGAACCCAAAACATAGCACTGTACCACCTACTAGGAAGACAATTAACTCTATCCCAGCTGAAACCAGGACACATCCTTAAATGAAAAAGTAAACCAGAACATTTTCTTGAAACATGAAAATAAATTTCTTTGCAGCCATGTGTTGCAGCTTATTATGTACTGCATCATTCACGGCTTACTGAGTGACAGACCACAGCACAACTAAAATGAATGGCTTTTTTGTGTCATTGTAACACAATGACTTTGTATCTTGTGGAAGGAAGTATTATTTGTAGTCTAGCCAATGTATGGGATGTGTTTCTTAAGAGGTAACACTGGTCTAGGTGACACAGTGGCATTTTTGGATGAGATGTAGAAACGGGACCTGGCCCACTAGAAGCATTTCAAGTTCCATTCCATTTTTTTGTGAGCTGTAGCTCCAGTAATCATTCCAAATCCAGTCTGAGAAATTATGTTCTGTTCATTCATCATGGTTTTGTCTCCTAAGTATATAAATGTTACTCTATACCAGTTAAAAAATAAATATTGGAAGCAATTGGTATAATTCATCATGTTACAAGGTGTTATAGTATGTTTGTATATTAGACTATTTCAATACCATATGTGAAATGTTATAAATATACTTGCGATATTCAGTGTGCTGTGTAGTTCCAACACAAATGGTGGTATCATTAACATTTCAGAACAGGAAATACTATATGCTGTTGACTTTTAGGCTGTTTTGTCAGTCTTGGTACATGGTACTTACAGGAAGAAAAATGATGCCATTTTGCCTTTTGCAGATTTAAAATGAAATAATGTTTTCTGTCAATGTTGAAAAGTGTTAAGAAAATTCTGAGCATCAAAGATTAGAATAAGCCATCATGAGAGCTTTCTTCCAGGTCTAAAATCCCAGAATTGGTATTCCCCAGGGGATACCAGTCTGTCAGGTTCTGCCTTGAAGCGCTACGCTTCCAGTTATTTGTGTCCTTGAGCAGAAGAAATCAACCCGGAACAGTGAGAGGGCAAAATGCATGCATGATGTGCAGGCCACTGCCAGCCAGAGCTGCTCGGCTGCTCTGGTGAGCGAACGGCCTTGTAGGGGCTCTGCGAAATCCTGAGCTCCGCAGGGTAAAGTAAATCTTGCTCGGTGGTGTTACTGTTCGTCCTTCTCCAGGTGCGGAGGCAATAAATATTTTCCTCATTACTTTTTTGCTATGGTCTTTTGACGGCCTATTCTCTTCAGAATTAAATTGTATTTTGTGATGGATAAAGCAGAGTTTTTTCTTTCTTCCCCTCATCCCCCTGCTTTATATCTAGGTTACAGAAGATTTTCCTTCTAACCTGTAGCATGAGAGCTTTTGCACCCCTTTCCCGAGCTGTTTCTCCCGCCGCGCAGCCCCAGGGAAGTGCGGGGACAGCACGGTAAGCTGCAATTAACGAGCTGCTCCCTCAGCCCTAATTATGTGTAATGTGAAAAAGGTGTGCTGCGTCCGGTACGTCGCGCGCATCAGCGTGATACCTCTGGCTGTTCTCCGCCGTGCGTGGGTGACGCCGGCGGCCGCGGGACCGGCCGTGAAAAGCCCCTCGACAGCCCTCATCGGGACGCGCGGTCCCTCCCGCAGACGCTGCGGCTCTGACGGTGCTTCGGCGTCCGCAGGCGGATGCGGCCTGCGGGCGCGCTGCGCGGCGGTAGTGTGGCCGTGAGGAGCGGTGCAGCGGCCGTTCCGCTTCCGCCGCCTGGCGGAGGCCCCGCGCGGAGCGGCCGGTTGGCAGCGGCTCCAGTAGCCCCTCTGCCGGCAGCGTCCGTGACCCCCTCCCTGTTGCCGGTGCTGACGCCCCGGCTTCGCCACCCGAGGCCGTGGCCCTACGGCCGTGAGGGCGGTGGGTGCTTCGCTCCCCCCCCACCCCCGGCCCTGGCGAGTGCCGGCCTGAGGGCGGAGCCGCGCCGCTCCATGGCAACGGGTTCGGCGTCGCCCCCTGGAGGCGGCGACGGTGGCGGCGTCGCCGCTGCTCAGGCGTTCGCGGTGGGCAGCCCGGGGCCTGGCGGCTGGCGACAGGGTCCTCGCGCGGCTGGCAGAAGGGCCGGGTCGGAGCGGAGCGGCGGCGGCTGGCGGCTCCGGAGCGAAGATGGCGGATGTGCTGAGCGTGCTGCGGCAGTACAACACGCAGAAGAAGGAGATCGTGGTGAAGGGGGACGAGGTGATCTTCGGCGAGTTCTCCTGGCCCAAGAACGTCAAGACCAACTATGTCATTTGGGGGTGAGCGGTGGGGCCGAGGCGGAAGGCCACTCGCTGAGAGAGGGGGCGGGGGGCGAGCGGAGGAGGGAGAAGTTGCCCTGAAGTTGCGGGGGAGCGCCCGGGGAGCGGGGAGGGAGGTCCCGCCGCCCTTCGCGTCCCGTCGCGTTGCGGGGAGCGAGGCGGGCGGCCTGGCTGCCGCCTCCTGTTGGGGCCCCTCGGGAGCGCCCCAGGGCCGTGCGCCTCCTCGCTGCCTGGGCGCGGTGTCCCGGCGGAGGGAGTTGTCCGAGCGGCCGGCACCCTTCGCGGCAGGGTGGGCCATGCCTCCCTCCCCCGTGCTGCCGGCGGCCCGGTCGGGCAGGGAGGTCTCGCCCGTCCCTTCGGGAAGGTTCCCAGGACCGTGACCGGCCGGTCGGCGCCACTGCCTGGGGCCAGAAGAGCCGCGGGGCCGGGGCGAGGCCTTTCCTCGGCTTTCGGCCTGTCCGCGCGACCCGAGGGGGGTGGGGGCTGGAGGGTCGCGGCGGGGCCGGGTCGTTCAGGGTTTATGCGATGAGACGGCAGGAGGCAGCTTCTCGAAGTTTTTCTGGGGTTTGTCTGAAAAACGGGCGTTACGTACTTATTGTCTTAGTTTATCCGGGCTACTTCTCTTTTCCTGGAGCTTTGTCCGGGGGTAGGAAAGTCAGTGAGGTCCAAACAGACGCTCCCTTTGTCGTCACCTGCGAGCCCTGTGGGAGCGTGCAGGCGCTTTGCTCCTCCTCAGCCGGCTCCGAGCTGAGGCCTCTTCCTGGGCTGTACCCCATGCAGGCTGTTTCCTAGTTGGTCTTATCCTAATAAACAAGTAGAGATAGCGCTTCTGTTGCTTAAATGATTATGTTAAGCGTTTTACTTATTTTTAGAAAACTTCTAGAAAATGAGGTTTTGTACCTGTTCAGTTTTCTAGTACGATATCTGTTGCTTACAGTGCAAGGGAGTTCTTCATTCTCCTTTCCTCTGAATTTAGCTGCTGCTTGCTTTTAACGTCCTAACTAGGAGGATTTTAATGAAACTCTCTTAAACCCATGAGAAAAAAATGCTTGTTGTTAAATATCAGATAGTGAACATTTTAGGTACTCGTCAAAGAGAGTATGTTATCCTGTGAAGCTTGATGGAAAAACAGAAAAACATGCAGATTTCTCACTCCCCCCCCCCCCCCAAAAAAAAAACCCAAACCAAAACACCCCAACCCTTGTAGTTCAGTCTATGACCAGGGATGATTTTTTCGTTGTTGTTTTAATAATTATGATATGAATATTAGTATTGATCTAATATCCTGATTTCGGGTTTGAGAGAGAAATGAAAGAAACTTATTTCTTCATGTTAACTTGTAGACAGATATTTTTTTTTTTAAATTATTTGCTTTGCAATCTACCTAAAACTAGAAATGTGTTATTTCATTACCTATTTCAAGCTTTCAGAAACTCATTTGGGATTTATTTGCACTTCCTGGCTGAGTGGGGGATGCTGGTAGCTAGACTGAAGAGGAAGAAAAATATTTGCATAAGCATTTAAGTTTTAAATTTCTTGAAAAGTCTTAGTTCTATTTTTGTTGAGCAACTGTATAGACAATGGTGGTGGTTTCCTTGCTACAAGTTGTTTTTCCCAAAGAGTAGCAAGTAATAATGGTTAACTAGACAGACAAGTTTCATTGCTTTTCTGTAGGGAGAAGCTGATATGCCAGCTGAACTTTACTACTGCTTAGGAGAGCTTGAATTGGGCACAGAAATTGTTAACAAAAGACAGCAGCTGGAGAGAGAAACTTTATTATATACATTCAGGAAGCTTTATCTTCATGGTCAAGAAAGAACTATGAGTGAACAGAGGATACGCTGAGCAGAACAGCAGCAGTAACCTTGTAATAGCTGTTTGTGTCCTTGCCTCTTGTGGTAGATGTGTTGTAGAATTTGGAGGGATTTTGTTGTTTTGCTTGTTTGAAGTAAATTAGTAAATCTTAGTATAGACCAGTGGCTTCTGAACTTTTGGTAGGATCAGACTGCTATCAATTCACAATATTTCTTGTGAACCAGTGTGGAATTATGTATGTCTAATCTTTAAATTGAAGACACTGTAAAAACGAGACCAGTTCTGCAAGCCATACTCAATAGCTTTGACACCACAGTTTAGGAGCTGTTAATTTATGTAATTGCCAGACTTATGCAGGTACTCAAGAGAAACATTTTCAAAAACTTTCAAGATTCAAAACCTTTTATGTTCAGGTTGCTTGACAGGACCCAAACTATGCTTGCACTGAGCAGTTGTTAGTGGCTTAGTCTTTCATGAAGGTAAACCTTGATTTCTGTTTTAGGTGTCCACAGCACAGTTGCTGTAATTGCATCTCTACTGCCAGTCTGGAGAGAGTAATGCAAGTCTGAACAGCAGTGGTGGCATTCTGTCCCTGCTAGAATTAGAAGTAGTCCCACTAGACATGTAACACTGTGGCTCCTTGCTAAGCTGGCAGGAGTTGGCAGTGCTGCCCTGCACTGCCTTCTCTCTGTGCTAGCAGAAGTGTCGGTCACACAGTGAACTGGTCGGAGGAACTAAGCCAAGTTAAAAGTAACCCAGGGGGAGGGGGGATTAATTTTAATCCAGGTTACTTTCCAGATAATAATTACGTGAATACCACTGCTGACACATGAAGAAGGCTAGATGGTCTAAGATTAAGTGTTTTCTGTGTTTTGATCTAATGGCTGATCTGTGGCCCCTGAAGAGTGATTATAGAATCTGTTTCAAAACTGAAGGAAAGAATCAGTCCAACAGAGAAATTTATTTTCTTTGTTTACCCAGCAGAGGGGCTTGTATGCACAGCTGAGAAGTTTTTAAACAGTGAACAGCTGGTCATGGGTATTGTAATTTGTGGGATACTCTGTGTGCCTAGTCTTGTATTTTTAAAGATTACTGCATTATTTTGTGGATGAGGCACAGGTCTTTAGTACCTTTATAAAAATTCATGCTTTGAAACATGACAGAGGAAATAAAGCAGTTAAAAATGAGTAAACTCCTGGTGCCCACAGTTTGAGGGTGAATGGATGAGCAGGAAATTTCTGGTGTTAAGCAGGTGAAACTTTCTCTCTTGTGTTATGTAAACTTTTTTATCCTTTTTTTTTTTAAGCTGGAGTGTTTTTTTGTTGTTTTTTTTTTTTTTTAAGAGATGCAACTCTTAATAACCATTAAAGCAAATATATAAGTGCTGGACTTTTTGAGGTCTGAATCTTAAGATTTTCTTTTTTTTTTTCTTAAGTAATTGATACCACTAGTAAATATAGGAAAAGAGAATGTAATTTCTTTTGCTACTTTGGATATTTGTAAGTTAGATGAAGTAAGCTACCTTCAGATCAGCTTGCATTTAGTTCTCTGTTTTTTGAGCAGGTTCTTTATGTCTGGAAAACCTGAAAGGAACACAAACTGATGCTGATAGTCAGTTTAGACTTAGATTTTTCGCCTTGCGTACAACTGCTTGTCCATCTGATGCTTTCCCTTTAATGTGCAATAGCTTGTCCTCCTAATAAAACACCCTCTTAGAACCATGATGAGCATGGGGATTTGTTGTGTGTGTGGTTTAAGTGATGAAGTACCAACTGTGCCTTGCTGAGCTTTCACAGTGCCTGTGAATGGTGTATTTTCCAATTAACAGGTAACCCATTCAGTACTTGTTTTCTAAATTACGCCATTTTTGCTAAATATGGCTAAAAACCTGCATAGATGACCAGCTGGACTTTTTATATAATGTTCAGTGGATATGGCACACTTCAAAGAAATAATGAGTTATTCTGAAGTGAGATAATCTAAAATGTTCAGTTTAAAATGAAATGACAACTGTATCATGTGACATAGACTTCACTTCAGATCCAAGTCTATGTGGAGGAAACTTTTGTTTCTTCTAGTGCTCTGAATATGTTTAATTACCACCTTATCAAAGATAGCAGTGAAACAGTAAAATACTCAAACATTTTTTTGCTGAGGAATCCAGTTCTGTTGGCTGTAATTGTGAAGCCAGCTTTCGGCTTCTTAGGAATTGAAAGGTATTGTGTCTCTTCCTTTCTTTCCTCTTCAGCAGCAAAACAAACATGCACACTCCCACCCCATGCAGACTAAGTTTTTTGCAAGGAAGAAAGAGTGGTAGAAAGATCCCTTATTCTGCCGTTCTCCTGGTGTTTTGGATCACTTTTCTCTGCATGTTATTCATGTATTGGTTTCCTCGGGCATTGTTGTGAAAGTAATGTTTTTTTGACCTTACTGCTAGTAATGAGTTCTGAACAGGTTATTGGATACTTTCAATCTAGGTAATTTCAGAAAAGTAATTGCAAGAAAAGCAGTAGTGGCATTATATCCACAGTATGGAGAAAACAGACTTACACTTCTGTGGCATTTAGTAGATGTTTGTGTAGCTCTTTCAGGTTCAAGAACGTTATGGTTGAGTATTTTTTTTATTTCCTCTCCCCCCCCAGTGAGGTTGGCACTTCTGGAGTGAGTGTTTTGATGCTGAGCCATGAGTAAAGCCCCTGTACTTGGGGGGGGAAACTTCTTCATATGGTTTTAATGGAAGTATTTCTTCACATCTCTGATCAAAATTCTTTGCTAGTCTTAAATTTTACAGTTTTGGCCTGTTTTTCCAGTGGGTCGTCTTCCTCGGGTGTTGAGGTGAGATGGCTGGTTTGGCTGGTTGGGGATGGGGACTGAGCAGTGTGGGGGAGCCTTGTCCTGCTTGCAGACGGGGTCTGGGAGGTCCCAGGTCTGGGCAGTGGAATCACTGGTTTCATTGATTTCCTGGTCCTGCTGAGGGCTGTGAAACTTGAGGGTAAGGTCCATTTCTCAGAGCAGTTGAAGTATTTGGGCAGCAGGTTTTGTTTTGTAACTGGGACAAGCATTGCGTCCCCTACAAAATCTTATAGTAACAGCATAAAGGGGTGAAGGTGTGTATGAGGGGGGAATTTTGTTTGATGCACATGGAGCTTAGCTGAAACTACAGTTTTTGTTTGACCTTGTTGTGTGGGATTTTTTTCTTTTTTTTTTTTCCAAACTGTTTTACAGAACAGATTCCTTTTTAGGCTTGAGGCATCTCTTTCAAACAAGCTGTTTTGAAGCTGAGATTGAACTTGATGCTCCCATGTTGCTCTGAAGTGGTCTGACTTCTGTATGGGAGTTCATTGTGATTTGTAGTCCACTTTGGTTTTGCTAGTTTTGTGTGCAATTAATTTCTAGTCACTCCTTATTTTGACCTTTTGGCACTATTTTGAACCTGTTGCTCTCTAGACTTCGTGTAATTTGTGTATGCTGAGGTCTTCACTGTGCTTTCTCAAGTGGTGAAAATTCTGTCCCCTTATACCTGAAGAGCACGTAATACAATTTTTTTCATTTGCAGTTCAGCTATGTTCCTCTAGCCGTCCCAAATAAGGTAGACTGTTTTTCTGATAATCAGAAAAAATATGTTGGAGATGTGGGAGAATGTATTCTTACAGTTTCCCAAGTCTTGCTTCTTGTATATTTTACAACCCATCTAGCTCTTATTTTGGATTATTTTGGACAATTTTTATAATTTGTTCAGTAAAGAGGGTGCAAGAACCTATATCCCTTGCTCGTATTTGTTAATACAACTGATAGTTCCCTAGTTTGGCAATACGTTGATAATAATATTACTGCTTTCTTTTTGAATTGTCCTCTGGAAAGAAAATATAACTTTGCTAAAAAAGTGTGTGCATGAGAAAGAGGTGAAGAGCTTAAACATTAAAATCTTTGTTTCATGATTTTACAGGACAGGGAAAGAGGGCCAACCCAGGGAATACTACACTTTGGATTCTATCTTGTTCCTGCTCAATAATGTGCACCTTTCTCATCCTGTTTATGTCCGCCGTGCTGCAGTAAGTAGACCATACAAAACTTGATTTTTTTCTTGCTTGTAAGTTATATGTGCATAGTTATTTTCAGGGAATGATAGTAACATTTAAGTGTATGAATTTGGCTGGGGAAGGGAAGAAGATATGCAACAAAGTGTGTGTGTGTGTTTAAAAAAGAACACCTTACTTAGGGATTAAATGACAGACCTTGTCAAGGTGGAGTATTTTTCCTGACAATTCACTTTCTAACAGATTATCCCTTCAAACCACCAGGTTGCATTTACAACAAGAGTCTGTCACCCAAATATTAACGGTAATGGCAGCATTTCTCTTGATATTCTACAGTCACAGTTGTCTCTGGCACTATTGCAAAAGTACTTTTGTCCATCTGTTCTCTGTTGTGCGATCCCAATCTAGATGATCCCGTAGTGCCTGAGATTGCAAGGATCTACAAAATACAGAAAAGTACAGCAGAATAACTTCAGAGTGGACTCGGAAGTATGCAATCTAATTAAAGAAATTATTGGATAAGCTCTATAAATAAAGATGGGGGAACTCTGATAGAGAAAGCCCTTTTGATTGCCATTTGACTGCTTTCTGTGAGCCCATGCTTCATCTTCCCCTGTGCCATATGGTTACCTGATACAGCAGTGCTGCGTGTTCTACGTAGTTGGAACAACAAAATTGAAATATTTGATTTCTGTGTACTAACATTGACTCTTGGCAGAGAAGCGTGTGTGTGTGTGTTTAAAAGCTAGTTTTGAATCTTATTTGCAAGTTTGAAGAGAAGGAGAAAAAAGGCTGTCCTCTCTTTTATAGCAGACAACGTGTTTCATTTTGTGTAGTTGAACATCCTCTAGGAAGTAATTGTATCTTTAAGCTTGACAGTTATACTTTTTTGGGAGGCAGGACGTGTGTTCCTGTGTGAATGAATAGTTTTCAATAAAATGAAAAATCTTCAGCAAGAGGCTTTGAAGGAATAACAGTTTAATGTCAAGTCCGCTGTCTTTTCAGACTGAAAATATTCCTGTTGTAAGAAGACCTGATAGGAAGGACTTGCTTGCATACCTAAATGGGGAAACATGTGAGTGATGCTTTCTTTTAACTTAGACACCTAGTGTGCTTTACCGCTTCATATTTATGGCTCATATGAGGGGTGGAAGGGGAAGGATGGTTAATGATGGTCAGTGTGCAGCTTAATTGAATATGTTCAAACTTCTCAAACGAAGTTAGGATTTCTTTTATTGTTTAATTTTGTTCTGCACTTAGCTATTTTTATGGCACTTAGATAGGAGCTGCATTCCTACATGCATGTTTAGAAGTGAGCTACTTTTTTATTACTATTAACATCCTTTAGTTAATAGTTATGTGTTAGAATGCTTAGGGTTTATTTTCTTTCCTTCTCTAGATTGTGGGAAACTTCTGGTAGTGCATTGATCTTGATGCAGTAAATGTGTGGGATAAAATCTTCAGTACAGTAAAATACCCCAAATCACTGCTTTGTCAGACTGGCAGATTTGCCTAGTATTCCATCATCTTAAAATTTTTGTTAACAATAGTCAGAGAAAAGAGGTTTCTTTGAGAGAAAGTTCTCTCTGTTTTCTAGGTGGTCTTAGAACTTTAAGTATGCTGGAATATGAGATTATTTCTGAAATATGAACAGTACACCATTTTTTTATATATATTTTAAAGGAACCAGCAGGTTGACTTTGTTCCAAAAACTAGACAAACTAGTAGATCTTGATTCCAGGTTATAAAGTAATTATCTTTGTAACTCTGTTTTCTTTTATGTGGTACATACAGATCATAGAATCACTAATTTATGTTGGAAAGGACCATAGGAGGTCATCTGGTTCAATTCCCTTTTCAAAAAAGGGCCAAATGACCCTGAGCAACCTGATCTAACTTAATGTTCAGTCAGGTTCTGAATGGCTGCTCTGCTCTCATGAGTCCTGCAGTACTGCATTCAGCTCTGGGGCCCCCAACATAAGAAGGACATGGACCTGTTGGAGTGAATGCAGAGGAGAGCCATGAAGATGATCAGAGGGCTGGAGCACCTCTCCTATGAAGACAGGCTGAGACAGTTGGGATTGTTCAGCCTGGAGAAGAGAAGGCTCCATGGAGACCTTACAGCAGCCTTCCAGTACCTAAAGGGGGCCTACAAGAAAGCTGGAAAGGGACTTTTTACAAAGGCATGTAGTGACAGGACGAGGGGTAATGGCTTTAAACTGAAAGAGGGTAGATTTAGATTAGATGTAAGGAAGAAGCTCTTCACTGTGAGGGTGGTGAGGCACTGGAACAGGTTGCCTGGTGAGGTTGTGGCTGCCCCATCCCTGGAAGTGTTCAAGGCCAGGTTGGATGGGGCTTTGAGCAACCTGGTCTAGTGGAAGAAGGTATCCCTGCCTATGGCAGGGGGGGTGGGACTAGATGATCTTTAAGGTCCCTTCCAACCCAAACCTATGATTCTATCATCTCCAGTTCCAGTGTTTGACTGCGTTTGCTACCTAATATCTAGTTAGAATTTCCTTTGTTGCAATTTGTCTGTTGTCCTTCTTCCTTTTATACTTAAATACTTTTGCAAATCTTTTGTACTTAAGTGAAATGTTGTGTTTGATTACAGCAACCTCATCAAGCATAGACAGAAGTGCTCCACTTGAAATTGGTCTTCAACGGTCCACTCAAGGTACAGTTTAACTAAAAAATAACTTTGAGGCTTATTTTATGACAGTGTACTACAATCTTGTATTTTTAATATCCTCTTTTTCTTGTAGTTAAGAGAGCAGCAGATGAAATATTAGCAGAAGCAAAGAAACCAAGAATAGAGGTAATGTCAGTAACTGTCATCAATACAAATTGGGGGTGGTGGTAAATTACAGTATTTATCTGTTCTTGTAGCAATTCAGTTGGGCTACCTGTCCTCTGGGTGCACACAGTACTTCTGTTAGTGTGAACATGAACTGGAAGGAGTTAGAATTTAAGCCTCTGATTTAAACTTGGAATTTTAGCTGCTAGTAGATGTGTGTTGTAGTATGAAAGGGGAAAGCTTGACCGCATATCTGTAAGTACCTGTTGCATTATAACCTGTCTGCTAGAACTATGGGATTGGAATAAAAGTGCTGTTTAATGATTGATTATGGTTATTTGCCATCCATGAGTTGGGATTATACTTAAGTGCCAGTCTTATCTCTATGAATGGATACTTACTTGTTTTACCTGCTATTTTAGTCCCTTTGTAGCAGTATATGAAACTGTCCCTGTGATTACTATTTTCTGAAGCTGTGTCTTAGGCAATTAACTTAATAGTGTATTTTCACAAGTGCCTCTTGAGTAGAAGCAATATGTCTAGTTATTGCACACATTGTATCTGACTTACTGTTTTTTGTAATTTTTTTTAAACTAAGTTCATCCAGTTGTCTCCTATGTGAGTTATTATAAATCTGGCTGTATATTTTTTCAGTGTACTGAGGCTTTAGATTTCTTCTTAGAAGAAGAGTTACCAAATACATAAATTCACTTATTTGAGAATTGGATTTGAACATTGTTTATGCTTAACTATAACTGCATAAGAATCATAAGAACTTTATGCTTTCTTAATGGCATATGAGCAGATGATTGCTGTGAGGTGGCCTATTGGTGATCTATGGATTATTATTTTTTTTTATTCTACATTACACAATGTGGTTTTGATGCCAGTATGTTTTGAAACTATAGATCTTCACTGTCATAATTTGGAGAACCAAGAATTCTGCATGTGAGCCTAAGGAGCTTATGGCCATCTTCTCTGTTTCCTTGCTGCTCTGGCAGCTCAGAGTCTGTAAAGTCTGTTCTTTTGGAGATCATCTCTGTGTAGAGATTCCAGGTCTTTCCTGATACATGGGCATGACTGGCTTTGCTGTGCTTCAGCCTTTCCAAACAGCCTTTTAGCAACAGGGCAGGCTTGATGCTGATTTAAGTTTTGTGGGGAAATAAGACAGATTGAACACAAGTGGTGCCAGAATTAAGAAGGTGAAAAGATGGTATAAAATTACATTTCTACTGCTTTCTCAAATTACATGTCTGCCTCAAACCTGGCTTGAGTAACTGTAGGCTTCTTTACTCTTGACTTGTTTTTTATGTTTACTAGAAATGTCATTTATAAAAGTTCTGCTTAAAAATACAACAGTTCTGAGCTGTTCTTTTCTTTAAAAATGTCACTGTTTACATATCTGGGCAAATTTGAGTGTCAGATAAATTTACCTTAAATATGTACGTCTGTATGTGTATTGTCCTGCCTGAATGTGTGCGTTGTTTGCCGGCTTTAAGTTCTCTGATTTTTCTGCTGCTCACAATTGTCATCTAAGCAAGGCTCTTTACGAGGGAATGGTAGTATTTTCATTATTCTAATTATAATTTGTGGTTCTTGAGAGGAAATTTCCAATAGCTGTACAGTTCGTGCCAGCACACAGATCAAAGATAATTGGAAATAAAGATTGTCCTTGCAAATGTGAGAAAAAAACCAAAAATAAAACAAAAACTCTGAATAGCTTTAATTCTAGTTGTATTTAGTTTTTTAAAGAGAATGCACAAAAATTAAACATTACTGTTACTGCTAGGATGAAGAGTGCGTGCGCCTTGACAAGGAGCGGTTGGCAGCTCGGTTGGAAGGACATAAAGAAGGTATCGTGCAAACGGAACAGATCAGGTAGGGATACTTTTTCTTATGGATAGTGCTTAATTAAAGGACTGGTAACAACTCTTGTGCTATTCAAGACAGCCAGTTTTAATTCTGTCCAACAGCTCTCAGTGGCAGTGTCCCTCCGTTAGGTGCTAACATTAGTAATGTCTGAGGAGGTGGAACTTCATGCCTGGTCAGACTCCTGTTCTTGAGTGGAAGTTCAGAAGTCATGGCATGAGATTTGGTTTGTCTTCAGAAGTGAGTGGACAGTTGTCTCTTCCTCCCACCAAGTCTGCCACTTCTGCTTGCTTCTTCCATGGTGTTTACCTAGGCAGTCAAATACAATGAGCAGAACTGCAAGGGGAGGCTGATTATTTCTCTATTTCAAAGAAAAATGTCCTGTATTGAGGACTGTCTTGCATGTAAAAGGAGGAAAACATTGTGAGAACAGATCAAAGGGTAACACAACCTCTGTTTGACTCCCTACAGAGCTGAGCTGCTTGCCTCTGAAGAGGCAGTCAGCTACCAGAGGACAATGCACTGTCATTGCCATAAGTAGTAATCAGTATTCAAGTGCTTAAAAACTTGCCCATCACCTTTCCTCTTCTATTGTATCCATCCAGAATTTTGTAAAGAATGACAGCTGGTTTTGAGTCTTACACCATATCTTCCCAAAGCCAAGCAGAGAGGAAATGAAAGTCTTGCAAGATCTTGTTGATGCTAAGGATCTTGGGCTTAGTAGGATGCCAGAGTCTAGTAGTTCATTTTCAAATACCTGAGTACAGAAGCCTTAAAGTAAAGGTAGCTGCTTAATTGCTTTAGTGTGTCAGCTCCCATAATGTAAAATTGGAGTCGTGCTTCATATGGTTAAGGTGTATGAGTATGAACTAATGTACTGCTTTGTCTGCATTGGATTTTGCAGATGAGTAGTTTCACTTGATAGAGCAGCTGCATTTTTGAGAAATCTGTCTCTTGAGCATAAACAATACTGTGAATGCTTGTCTGTCCTTCACTGGGATTAAATTGAAGTTAGCCTTGCAACAATTAATATAGCAGAGTTGAAGCATTTATAGAATCCATAATTACACATAATCACATGAAAAATAGGTGTTTTGAATGTCTTCTTCCTCTCTGTGTCTTGTTTAGGTGTACTTAAAAGGAAACTATATAAAAAGAAGAAAATCTGGTTGTCATATCTGATACAAAATCAGAAAGTCTAAGGATCAAAAAATCAAAAAGTACACATGTTTTGCATAAACTAGTAATTTGGATACTAGCTTGAGTGTATCACAACTTTGTTTTGGAGTTGTGAGACGATGCTGCAGTGAGGATTACTGACTATTATTCGTATTTACTTTGTATTCTATATTTACAAATTTTTTTTTAATGCTGAATGTAGAAGACTGCCCTTTTTAAAAGGTGCAAATAACATTTATAAGCAGTGAGTTTGAACTCTGTGCTTGTCATTGTTGTTACTTTAACAGCAACACAAAAAAAGTTTCCTTCCCAATAGCTTGGTTGTAAAAGGAGAATATTTCACAACCAGTACTACTTGTATTAATTTTTCAATGTACTCAAAAAAAAAAAAAGTAAAATTAAATTGGGTATGTGCAGTTACAGTTGTGCAATTCAGTCCTTTTCTTCAGCTCACTTGCAAAGCAATAGGGCTCGCTGTTTGACAACCAAATTCTGTGTTTACAGTTAAAAGCAAACAGATAGAAATGTTGCACTCTTGGACTGAACTGAACTGAGCTACCTCAAGCACAGATTAATGTGGACAGAACTACTACCCTCTGTTGTTTGTTTGGCCTACATGCTCTGAAGAGGTAATGCAGCTTCCAAGTGGCCAAGTCTGTGTAACAGCACCTCAGCCGAAATCTGGATTAATCCTTTGAAAGCCTCAGAGCAGCCAGGGATTGATTGACTGGACACAAAATTGTAATCCACTAAAAATAACAGGGAGCTGAAATTCAGATGATGTTGTAAATGGAAGTGTTAGTCCTGATGCTTTACGCTTGCAATCTTTACTTCTGCTTGTGATAGTTGGGTTTTTTTGATGTTTTTTTGTGCTAATACTGGGATGGAGTCTTTTGTCTGAAGTTTGATCCTCATGCTCAAAACAGCAATGCCAAGCTCATGTAATTGTCACATATATGCAAGATGACTGTTTTACAAATTATAGCATAGCCATAAACTTTAAGCAGGATCAAGTTACTCATTCACAAATTTATTCAAAAGAGTTGTGTAGAATCATTTAGGTTGGAAAAGACCTTTAATGTTGAGTCCAACTGTCAACCCGACACCACCATGCCCACTAAACCATGTTCTGAAGTGCCTTGTCTATGCATTTTTTGAATACCTCCAAGGATGATGACACCACCACTTCCCTGGGCAATGCCTGACAACCCTTTCAGTAAAGAAATTTTTCCTAATACCCAATCTAAACCTCCCCTGGTGCAACTTGAGGCCACTTCCTCTCATCCTATCACTAGTTACTTGATCGAAGAGACCAGTACCCACCTCACTACAACCTCCTTTCAGGTAGTTTTAGAGAGCGATAAGGTCTCCCCTCAGCCTCCTTTTCTCCAGACTAAACAACCCCAGTTCCCTCAGCTCCTCCTCATCAGACTTGTGCTCCAGGCTCCTCACCAGCTTTTTTGGCCTTTGGTGGATGTGCTCCAGCATCTTAATGTGTTTCCTGTAGTGAGGGGCCCAAAACTGAACACAGTACTTGAGGTGCGGCCTCACCGATGCTGTTCAATTACTCAGTCTCTTCTGTTGTTTTTGCTCATTTAGGTCCTTGTCTGAAGCCATGTCAGTGGAAAAAATTGCTGCTATCAAAGCAAAAATCATGGCAAAGAAAAGATCCACTATCAAAACTGATCTGGATGATGACATAACTGCTCTTAAACAGAGAAGTTTTGTTGATGCTGAAGTAGATGTAACCAGAGATATTGTCAGCCGGGAGAGAGTATGGAGGACAAGAACTACAATCTTACAAAGCACGGGCAAGGTAATGCTCTGGATACCAAGCTGTTTTTATGATCAAAATGACAAACCATGTTTTTTATTTTCTGTGTCTCTAGCTTGCTAACTATAGATGACTGGGGGGATTATGCTTAGTGTTCTAGGTAAAGGTAGGCTTGGAGGATTGTTGGCACAGTGACAGAGGAGTTCATTCTTTCCTCATTATGGTAAGCCTACAATGTATCTCAATACTTGCTTCAGCCACTTAAAAGATACCAAGTAATCGCTTAATCCCTCTTAAACAAAGCTGGCTTGAACGCTACATTTGGGAGGGCTGTATGAAAGTACCTGCAGGTTTGAAATGAACAAAAGTGGGAAGTAACTGGTAACAGTAGCAACATGTGTACATTGGAAGTCCAAAGGCTGCTAAGCTGTGGAAAACACCAAAGGAGTAAGGAGAGAAAATGCGAAAACTAACAAACCCAGAAAGTGTTACCAAGAGGAGGCTTTTCTGTATATTTTTGTCCCTTCATGTTCCTTTAATCCATGTCTTTAGCTGCACTTGGTTATGTGCCATCCAGAAATGGTTGCAAGCACAGCTGATAGCTTGCTCTTTTTGGACAGTTAGGCTTTCTTTATTGCAGTGATACTTGGCACTGAATTTCTCAACGAGGCAGTAAGTCAATTTCTAAAACATTGCAAATGTCTGTTTTCCTGAGGTTACTGTCAAATCATGTCCTTTGCCTTTGCTACTTGTCTGAGTACTGTCACAGGAAAATAATGTTTAGAAGTAAATGAGGTCCTAGTTTTCATTTACCTATTTTTAAGAGTATTTTACATAGCGCTCATTTTCACAACCTGGTGTCATGGCATTAGTGGTAGAATAATTCCATTAATGAATTATGGGGTAATTACTAGGTATGTGGCATGTACCTGCATGTATGCTGCACACAGAGTGAGTGTTATTTCTTTGAGTCTGTGAGATTTGTAGCAATCTCACTGCTGAACAGTTGATAAATTGGTAAAAGCCTTTACTGTTTTAGTCATCGGAAATGTTTGTACTGAAGGAATCTGGGTAGCTTTTCCTCATTTAGCGAATCATTCATGGCATTCATATCTTTACATGTCTTCCAAGGGAAACTTGAAAAGATACTAGGGAAAGAGTTGAATGTTTTACTGTAGTATCCTTGTAATAGTGAGATGAGGTAGTGATTTTAAGCAAAACCTAACATGGGGAGAAAGACAAGAAACAGGAGATCAGGTTTGTTCTTGGACTCCAGCATGCAGTTACTTGACTAGCGTGATGAATATAATTGGCATAATAGCAAGCCTTTATTTCTTGATAGCATGGACAGAAATAATTGGATATTAATGTTTATATTTTTGTACAAGTAACAGTGAGAGTAAGTAGGAGGGGAAGCATCTCTTGTTACCCAGGGCTGTGATTTATCCCAGAACAGCTCCAGGGTTTTTTGTTTGTTTGTAGGTTGGTTGGGATGGTTTTTTTGGTTGAGATTTTTTTTTTAAAAGAACTTTTGTGAAGACCTACTCAAAAGTTGTTAGAAAATTCAGATACGTTACCTCAGACAGATCATTCTTTATCTACTTGCCTGTTCATTTAAAGAATTTTGATCAGAGAAGCATAGTACTACTCTGCAAATGCTGTTTTGGCTTTTCTGTATGATACTTGAATTGCTAATGTGCCTGATAGTGAAAATTTACAGTAAATTTATACCAAGCAGATAATTCTTTTTATTTACAGTCTCTTGAATCCTCCTAGAATGTTTAAAAACAACAGTAGTTTACATACCATATAGTGTCTGACTTATTAATATCTGAATCCTTTAGAACTCCTGGGAGAATGGTAACAAAGAGTGAGCACCCCAAAATGTCGATTTTGTTTCTTTCCAAAAATTGCTTCAGTCTGAGGCAGCTCCTCAAGCTCTCTTCTCCACAGAGAAAAAGTCTTCTATGTGAACTTTCCTAGTGTTCTCTGTAGTAAACAAAGATGCAGAGATAGCTTAAGAAGCAAAAGGAAAATACTAGGAAGATCGAGCCACAGCAAAAAGAAAATAATCTGTTGTCTTTATCGGTTTTCTGGTAGGTTTCCTCTGGTTTTGATGTGTTTGCAAAAAGTACTGATTCCTCCAGCAAAATGCTCCTCAAAATTCTATGTAGATGGCAATAATCTTAACTATATTTATGGAGTATTTATTCTTTCTCCTTTTGGACACGTTTTCTGATTCTGAAGTTTGCTTTTTACTTCAAATGGCCTTTTTTGCTTTATAGAACTGGTCCAGTTTTTTTTGTGTGGTTTGTTTTTTGTTGTTTTTTTTTTTGAAGTCTCCAGTGATGTAGTGTTCTTCTTTAACACCTTTTGAAAGTGTTCATGATATTTGCATTCTGCCCTTTAGAGCTGCTTTTAATTCTTTCTTTGATATCTTCATTGTTACATAGCTTCCCTTGCTGAAATTCTAGTGGTGGATTTTTTTCCTGGCTATAGGGATTGGTTTGGTGTTTTTTTTGTTCACAAGAATGTTGAATTTGAGTGCATTGATACTCCTGTTGTAGAATATTTTTCAGCAGCTACCTCTCTACAGTAGGTACTATGGGCCAAATCAAGAGATGCTTCTCCTCTTGTGACTACTTTGGCCAGTTGCTCCAATAAGAAATTACTTATGATAGCTAAAGAATTAATTGCTGCATCACTTCCCTCCTTGACACTTATCCAACCTACAGAGTAACTGCAAGTTCTCATAACTACTGTTTTCTTCTTTGGAAGTCTCTGTATTGTCCCATTCATATTGGCAATATAGCTCTAATGATTTGGGACAGGTTATCATTCATTTACTATCATTCATTGGTTGTCATTCATAGTTTATCTGAGTCTAAGCTTCCTATAATGCATCACACAGGTCCTTTATATGTACGACCTCCTCTGTTACCCTCTTTTGATCAGATGTGGCATTGATCCCTGGCTGTCTTTTTTACTGATTTTTGTGAGGTTCCTACTGTTTGTAAAATCAGACATTTCAGTTCACCTGTCCTCTACTGTTTTTAAGATTTCTAGAATTTGCATTTGTCTGCTTGCTTATTTTATGTTTTGCTTAGAACATTTTATTGAGGTATTTTTCCATAGTTTTCTACCTGATTATTATGCAGTTTTGCCTTCTTTTCAAAATGCAGTGTTTGATTTAATTGCTAGTGGATGAGTCATCCTGCACTGTGTGTTTTAAATATCTGTTGGCCTTCCCCAAGTCTGTAGTCTTCTAGATTTTATGAATAATGTGACATTTTTATGTAATCACTTTTCAGGGCCAAATTGCATCTGTTTGGTCCAAGGGTTTTTTTTCCTCTCATAGTAACTTAATTTTAGAACTACTTCAGAGGATCTATTGCTTAAAGCAATTTAATTTTAGGTTTGGCTAAAGGCATGCAACATAACATTGCTGTTTTGGTGAGTCAACTGACAGTTGAACCAACTGAAAATTTAGTCAGATTTCAAAAGCAATAAAAGTACTAGATGCTAGAGCTGCTTCTGAATTCCTTTACTGTTCTTTTAACAGCCACAATTGTTGGGGGCTTTAAGAAATTAGTGTCTTCTGTTTGTCCTTGCTTTTCATGCAGTCCAATTCTCATTTTTAATCTTCACAAACACACGCAAAAATGAGTAAGGGAATTGCTGCCTTCAGACCCCATACAGCTAGATATGCTGGGGGAGAGAAGTTTAAAGAAGAAAGTGAAAATTATTTAATCTGTAGACTGATACTTGGACAAGGTGTCTTGCTCCTGTGTCTCACTGGGGTTTTTTTGGTGTTTGTTGTATGAAGCAGACATAATAATTCAGGATGCTTATTTACATCACATTAGAAGGATATGAATGAGTTCCTGATAATGTAGTCATGCTATTGACTATGGAACCTGTTTCTGGAGAACAGATTAAGTTTGTCAGATATTTATATATGTTAAATTAGTTTGAACTGAAATATTGTCTGGTGAAGATATGTCAGAATTAATATTGACACTTCTGAAACTGCAAATATTAGAGGAAAATACTAACAAAAATATTACTGTTGTAACTTCTTTATTGAGAGAACCTTTGTATATACAACAAGATATCCTTTCTGGTAGCTAAAGTTTTTAACCCACAGATAGAATATTTACCATTGTAAGTGTTTGGAGTGTTAAATTTTGAATTACTGTTTTGCAGAGGTTTCAGTTGTTTTGTATATATATTTTTAGATAAATGTTTGGCTGTTCTGTAAAACAAACCATTGAACACCTAGAAAAAAACTGTGTTTAAACTGAAATTGATTCCTTCCTTTCATGTCATTCCTCTGTCTCTCCTTCCTGAATAATCCTTTGATTTTTTTTTTTTTAATCATCTCCTGTAGCAGGCTTCAGCAATCTTTTCTGAAGGAAAAACCTCCTCATTCCGTCTCTACTGTAAATGTGTTCCTACAGGAACAAATTAAAGTAGCCTAAGCAGGAGTTTTAGCATTCACAGGTGTATTTGGAGGGCATATTTTTGTTGGTGACTGCAGATGTACTTGATTTTTTTTTATACTTTTTTTAATCTCCCAGATTGGTCAGAAATATTTCTTAGATAAGCAGCATGGTAACTGGGTGGGCTGGGTTGAACATGCTCTACTTAAAAAGAAATCTTAAAACTGGAATCTTGGAAATGCACTAATATGGGCCTTGAAATTGTAACTTTGGAAATGAACCAGTGCTTTTACAGGAATAGTGAGCTCTGAGTATTTCCAATGTTTTTAAAAGAAAATACAAATCTTTCATCCTTTTCTTTGTAGGGTGTGGTGGGTTGACCTTGGCTGGACACCAGGTGCCCACCAAGCTGCTCTATCACTCCCCTCCTCAGCAGGATGGGGGTGGGGGAGAAAATAAGGTGGAAAAAACCCTTGCGGGTCAAGATAAAGGCAGCTTAATAAAAGCAAAGGCTGCGTGCAGAAGCAAAGGAAAGCAAAAAGATTTATCCTCTACTTCCCATCAGCAGGCGATGTCCATTCACTTCCCAGGAGGTAGGGCTTCAGTATGTGTAGCGGTTGCTCCAGAAGACAAACATCGTAATAATTAATGCCTCCTCTCCTCTTCCTTTCTCCTCACTCTTATTGCTGAGCAGATGTCATATGGTATGGAATATCCCTTTGGTCACTTGGGGTCAGCTGTCCTGGCTGTGTCCCCTCCCAAGATCTTGCCCACGCCCAGC